TAGTAGTAGTAGTAGTAGTATTATATCATTGTTATTACGGAATAAACAGCTCGAGCTTCGCTTCTTCGGGCCGCAGAAAGTACATTGCTGTAGCGCAGGGATTAAAACTGCTTTAACCGCCTCCGGTGCTTCTTTCCCTTCCAATCACTATAAAGACGCCAGAGCAGAACGGCTAATCTGGGCCACCCACGAGAGGCGATGCTGCAGACGTTCCTCGATCAGGCCAGCGGGGAAGCCTTGGATGCTTAGCCAGCTTTCGTCAAGCAGTAGGACGGGAGCAGAGCATGACAACGTGATGCGAAGACCACGGAGATAACATAGTCGTGCCAGTTTCCTGAGAGGTGTCCCGCCGATGCTACGAGCTAGAGGCTGGTTGCGCAGAGCCACGTCTCCATTATGCAGTCACTAACGAACCCCTCGTGTGAACATGTTGTAAATGTTGCAGATGGTTTGCTGGCCATGCGAATAAGCGAGTCTTTGCATTTCAAGGTGTTGTTGACTGCATGAGATATGGCAGAAAATCCGGGCACATCTTAACATCCGGAAGTTAAGAAAGCTCAGCTCAAAAGTTAATCGACCGTCGCACCCCAGCGCTGTGAGTGAGAATGGACTGTGCAGCTGCAGCAGATGCACTCACCGAGCCACCAGCGAGTCTCGCGCACGAGAGTGCTCCTGCGGATACGGATCTCGCTTTCGGCCGCCGCAGTCGTCCTGGGAGTTGCGGCGGTGCTCAATCTACAAGATGCCTCTCCCAACCTTGCTCTGCTGCAGACTCTGGGATCTTTCTTTGCAGTTCTGGCGCTGCTGGCGACTTTCCCATGGTTTAGACGCAGCCTGTCTTGAGTCCAAAGTGCCTGTGTGTGTTGTGCAGTTCCTGTCCATACACGTTCCTGTAACTTCCCATTGCTGGGTGGGGTGCTGTAAGCAGATGAGGAGAGTTCAAATGCTGCTGCATGAGCTCTGGAATCTTGGCCAATGCTGGGGCTATCTTGTCTCTTCTCGATGGGCATGTACCTGGGACGCAACATCAAGTAGGGTTACATTGTAGAAGCAGACGTTGCGCTGGAGCAGTGTTGGCAACAGGCATTGCCTGAACTCCAGAAAGCACGGGCATAACTTGACCCGGCGACAAGCACAGACAAGCTAGAAGAACTTCAAGGCCTGGAAGTCAGACAGTGCCAATACGAGCAACAACTCCAAAGTTGTGGCAAGCAGGACGCAGAAGGCCTATTTCAGGTGCATGCCTGAAGTGATAACTGGGGTTCCTTACTTGGGCTCCTCTAGCAGGGGATTGCGGAGTCTTTGGACACTGTTGGTTGAGGTGCTCATTTCCTTGCTTTACTCCGTCGGCCTCAGCAATGGCATCATTGCACTCGCTGTGGGACTTCCAGTCTTCATTGCTTTGGTGGCGGTGCTCATAGATGGCTTGGTCCGCCTTCCCGGCCATGCTCCCCGGCGGCACCCCAAGCCGTCCAGGATTCGAAGGTTGTGATCGTTTGCACCAGGCCATTGCTAAACTGGTAAAGGTGTCCTTTGCTTGCTGAGGCGTGCTCCTTCCGCTCCAGCTGGGAGGCGAGTGAGTCTGGACTCCAGTCCCACATCTTTTAGTCAGTCTTCACATTCGACGTCCCCGAATCGTCTAATCTGCATCCTCCATGACTTTGCACAAAGTCTCTTTCGCGGGTGTAGGCTCTGTCTGGTACTGGTACAAGCGCATCTGACAGCATTAGTCGGAATTCGGAAGGCCAGGGCAGGTGTGACAGCCTTGCAACCTGCTACCAAAGACAACGCATCAGTCACCCCGCCACCGCACAGGAAGGAGCGTCATCCTATTCTAATTTCCCAGATCCTCCCTGGAGCCCCAAATCAAAGACACCAAGCAAAGTGAGCCATTAAGACCTCAAGCCCTCAGTTCCAAGCTCTGGACTGAAAGCCATTAGATTCATTAGAAGAAGCTTAGAAACGAAGGTGGGAGCTGCTGCCTGGTTGGACCTCGACGCAAAGTCCCCGATACCGGCCCGGTGCTGAGTGTAGCTTTAGGGTTTAGGGTTGTAAGGTTTGTCAGGTTCATGGGGTTTACAGGGTTTAGGGCTTATAAGGTTCATAAGTTTTGAGGGCTTAGGTTTTAGGGCTTAAAGGGGTTTAGGGTTGGCTTATAGGGTTTAGGGTTTATAGGGTTTAGGGTTTAGGGTTCTAGCTGACAAGAGCCTCGAGGTTTCAGTGAAGTGGCCTATGTGGGCAGATTTCTTGTTTCTACTTTTCGGATAGTTGTTCCTTACGGATTCCTTGCAGTCTGACAGTCGCTGTCGAGGTTTGCTGCATATCGATGTCCATCCGCGCCTGCATCAAGGCGCCCCGTCACAACTGCCAGAGCCAGGGCTTTCACATGAGTAGTGGCAGGGATCGACATTCGGAGCCTTGTCCTTTCTCATATGATCTCTCTTGCCCTCGTATCTTGCTGCGCACATTCTGCAGAGTCAGGCGACCTTGCTAGCGGCTCTCGGTGGCTCCCTCGTGGCTGGGCTTTATGCGGCACTGCATCCCAAGCTGGCCAAAGCGCTCTCGCCTACATTGGCCAGAGCCCTAGGGGGTATGCTTCGTCGAGAACTTTCGAGACCTCTTTGCGACGTCAATCGGTATCAATCCGTCCCCAAAGCATCCGCCGTCCCATGCCAGTCCATGTTTCCACGAATCTGAGCCTCGCACCAACTTGCCATCCACAAAACACCCATCTTTTCATTGACTCGCTCGATGTTTGAACCTTTTCTGTCTAGATTTAGGTGTTTCACAGTGTGTGTATGCTACCCTTAAGAAAGCACTCATTGTTTGCATATAGTAAACGTTGTGCTGTACAGTATTGAGAACAGTCACGTGCACATGTGAACATAGATAAACAGGGGAGCGAATATCACTCTTCGTATCTTTATCCAAATCAGTGAAATGATTGAATAGATACATAGGTAGATAGATACATGGACAGACGGGTAGATGGTGCATATACATAAGTACATTCCTGAATGCCTAAATCCTAAATGCCCCAAACCCTAAACTCCAAACCCTAAGCCAAAGACCTAGACATCTTTGAGGTCCCCAAAGAAACACCCAAAACTCTAATCCCTACTAAACCCTAAATCCGAATCCCTAAACCCTAAATCCCAAATCCCTAAACCCTAAGCCCTAAACCCTAAACCCTAAATCCCAACTCCCTAAACCCTAAGCCCTAAACCCCTTGCAGGGTCCCTTTCTGGCCTTTGCTCCGACTCCGCCGCTGGCGATCGGCGCTCTGCTGGCCTGGCCCAGGGGCCCTGCGGAGCCGCTTTGGAAGAAGACGGGGGTTTAGGGTTTAGGGTTTAGGGGGTACCGGGGGAACATGCCTTTTGGGTTTGGGGCTTAGAGTTTAGGGTTTAGGGTTTAGGGTTTAGGGTTTGGGGCTTAGGGTTGAGGGTTAATGCCAGTTAGTTGCAGGGCTAATATTCGTATTGCTATTAATGCTTGCAGGAGTACTAGTATTGATATCAATCTTAATGTCGAGCCCTGATTGGTAAACCGCCTTTCTTCGAGGACCCTGATATTAGTATCCGGGTTCCTAGATTCGTGAGTGAGGTTCCTAGAAGAGGGTCCTAGTGGCTCCTTTAGGGGGTTTGGGGTGCTTTGAGAGCTTTGGGTCTTCATTTTGGTATGTTTTGTCGAACGGGTTTGAGAGGTTTTGAGCTTCGCTTCCCTTGTGCCGGACGGTTTACATGAGGGCAGCAGGGCTTCAGGGTTTAGAGTTGCAGGGTTGGAGGGTTGAAGGCCTCCGTCCTTCGATCTTTTGTAGTTTTTCTTGGGGTCTTGGGGTCGGCTCGAGCAGGGCTGCCGTAGTGGCCACATCTACATTCACTCCAGCGATGCGATAACGGCGACATGTGTGCTCCTATGTAAAGACAGAGAGTTGTATCGGGCGGTGCATATCTGCCCAGGCTGATGAACCTGTCGGCTCGTGCGCGTTTGGCAAGATGGACTCTTGTTGTTGCCGCCTTTGGGTCGCTCTTCATCTTCGCCGCCAAGGGCTTAGATGACATGCACGAAGCATCAAATGTGTTTGGGTTCGTCTGAGCTCCCAGACAAAAAGTTCTTGTCTGTCACCAAGTTTTGCACGGATGCTCGAGCTGTCGCAAACTAGCCGAAGCAGCTGCCATCATCTTCATTGCTGCCACATCCCGATTTCTAGGGCTTAAGCTTTGGAGCAAGATCAGGACCCCAATGTGCTTGCCTTGAGCTGCTCCACAAACCCGCAGAATGGAATTTTGGGTCCTGACTTCATCGACCGAGGCCTGGTCAGGCCGACTGCTGGAGGCTTCTGTCCCCCCCCCCCCCAAGGGCCGCCTTTGAGGCGGCCCTGCTCTCTCTGCGTTTGCCCTCATTGCAGGTTCATGGGACCTGGACAAGCTGCAAGAACGTGGTCGATGAGTGCGCGGCCTTGGCCTCTCGCGGTGACTGCGACAAGGAGAGCAAGCAGCCTGGCAGAAGCATCGCGACGCCAGTAGGCGGTGGATGCTGTCAGTGCCTCCATGAATGCAGAGCCTGAGGTACTTCGACTACATGCTGCGTGTCTGCATATGGAAGTGCTCATTTTCGTTCCCCTTTGCGTGCGTTTTGTCTCCAGCAGAGGATGGCCAAGTGCCGGAAAGCGTGTCGTGCCTGCACGGACGTGAACTGGGGCCTCGCCGGAGATCTCAGCCTGGCCGTGCTGACAGTACTCGTCCTGCAGACGCTGCGCTTCGTGAGGGGCCCTAGACAGCTCAGAAAAATTCGGGATTCTTGTTCCTTTGGGCTGGTTCGTAGTGGTAGTGGTTTTGTGGGCTTCCAGGCCTACTGCTTCTACGAGTCCGCGCGGCAGCTGCTCTTGGCAGACAGCCACTTGAGCTTCGGCGCAGAATGGACTCCCGGATACTTCTCGTGTTCAGCTGGGAGAGCTTCCAAGGACCTCCGATCCACCAGAATCGCCCTTCCACGAGCTCTCAGAGGGACCTGGCCGGCGTGGCTCTGTGCCCAAGTTGCAAGAGGACCTGGTGGAAGTACCACTCAAGAGCTCGGGAAGCGACATGCCTGGGCTACATGTGAGACAGCCGCCTGCTCCACTCCAGCCGGTTGCTGGATGTACAACAGTGCAACGTCTTGCAGTTCCTTCCTACTGAGGTGCAATATGCGATCGACAGTCAGCTTGAGCTTGCAGAGCCGCTGTCAGCAGCCAGCCACACGAGATCTGAGCTGAATCAGGCGCATGTTGCTGCACGAGTACGTAGCAGGAGTGGCAAGGCCTTGCACTGTTTGTTGCCGATCATGGCTGAGCCCTTTCCTGCAGGAAGATGCTATGCCGATACGGGGTACTGCAGAGCAAGCAAGCGGCAAAAGCCTAGGCGGCTTATTTGCGACCCGCCGAGAGAAGACAGCAGTTTCGATCTTGCCTTTTTGTCGCCTGGCTCGGTTGCATCTGCTTACTTAGGCAGTCCCCACGACCATCAAGTCTTTCAAAGAGGAGCTTGTTGCAATAATTGTAATATCCTTTTGGAGTTGAATTGAATCTCAGTGTCGTGTTTGCAGAGGAGGAAGGCGAGCGAGAGCCACTGCAAGCGCTGGGTGGGCATAGCCCTCTCACTGCGGCGCAACAGACCTCACCAGGATCTCTTCCTACACTGTCGTCCGTGCTGCTGGAGCTCCCCCCCGAGCAGTCCTCTGTCAAGGAAGATGACGGCGAGGCAAGCTTTTTCGACTGTGAATCCCTGGCTGGAGACGGAGAGGACTGAGACGTCCGCACGCGGCTGATGGGTCCTGGTGATCACTGCAGTGGCTTCCTGGCTCCGCAAGGGCCGTGGAGGATCCTGGAGGTTTCAGCGGACCAGAAAGCCGGCGCCGGAGATCGCCGACGCCACGCACAGAAGGCCGAGAGGGCCATGGACCGACGAAGATTTTCAAGAGACAACGTGCAGAAAGCACTCGTCGAGAAGGAAGACTACGCAGCGGCATGCAGATGCTGTCGCAGCGAGACGCGAAAACCAGCAGGTGTGGCAGGACACATTGGTAGCTTGCTAATGTTTGCTTTTGCAGCTATTGCTGTGCTGATTGTGCTTCCTTTTGTTTCACCATCCCCGTTGAGAGCTGTGAATATTCTGAGCACGGTCATGCCCTTGCCGAAGAACCGCAGGCCGGCGAGATGGGGCCGATCGAACCCTCGCCAGGGAGCCAAGATAAGCCACAACTTGGCATCAGGATGTGGATCGAAGTCTTCGTGTTGTTGCACTTGCAATCTACGTGTTTCGGTGGAGTTGCTGATTGCCCCGAATCTGTTGCTGAAGGTCTGGCCAAGATGCCCGCGGCCGAAATAGTCGACAGCAGATGTTGCTGTTGAGCCATTCCTGGAGTTGCCTGACTAAGGCACTCGATGACTGGTACAGCGACCCCTGGGCATCACCAGGCCCCCCTCCACCGCAGGTACCAGCATTGAGAGGAATCGTGTTTGTCGTGCTCATGTGGTAGTACCAGTTCTGCTAGTAGCTTTGTTAGAAAACAACATTGATATACTGTAGATGTCTGGGATAGGCCACGGGACGTCGCTGGCTCTTCTTCGCAGGCATTGCCCGCAAAAGTTCCTCAAGCTCACGGCAGGGAGACAGGCAACCGCAAGATTTCTTTCGATCGCCGGGGCGCAAAACTGGGGCAGAACCAAAAGATTGGCCAGTTACTGTCTCCTGCATTGGGCGGTTTGTGTGTCAGTTTTCTGCAAACTGGATTGCTAGGTAACCACTCATCCTAAGCACGAACTTCCTGGACTGGTTGTTGGAACATGCACATGTCCAGAAGAAGCTCTGGCACTTTCTAAGAACAACTGTTTCCTCCATGCTATCATGCTTATCTGCTCCAGACTGCTTGATCCAATGCTTGTGGCAGTGTGATCTCCATCCCGGCGTGATATGAATCAGTCGCCTCGCTTTTTTGCGGACTGAAGAATCCATGATTTGCCCATATTTGCCCGTGGAGCAAGTCCCAAACCCTAAGGCCCTAAGGCGAAGTCCGAATCCTTTCCTGACGGCCCTGAAGCAACTGAACCTCATATAGTATTTTTATGATAAGGAACCCTAACAATAATATATGTTTCCTTATTCTAACTATAGTATAATATACCCCAAACCCTCACCACCACAAAGTCCGTGTGCCAGGCGTGGGCCCAGGAAGACTTCTGGAGGGCTGCGCGGGCCGGAGGTGCGAGGAGAAGGAGTGGCGTTGGTATCATCGTTAGTCGTTAAGTGGCAACACTAGCTAGTACTAGCACCGCGAAGACCACGCCTGAAAAAATGCAGGCATAGTCTGACCATCGCCATCCGGATGTTGCCAGAAATAGGAGAAGCGCAAGCTTCAGGTCGAGACTTTCTGCTTGGAGCAGCTGGATGATGCCCCCACAGAGGCATGGTCTGGTCCGAGCTTTCCAGAGCTGCAACTGACAGAGTGCTGCAGTTGTCGTTTTGTTAAAGTACTCCCAACAGCTCTGCCACGTCTTTGATAGGTGGCCGACGCTGCTCCGCTGGAGGCAAAAACCGGGAAGTCTGCTCGGGGCAAAGACTCTTTCAGCCTGGAAACCCCTTTTCCGAAAGATCCGAGTGAGAGCGCGTGCGCAACTCCGAGTGCAACGAGACAGGATGTCTCAGATCCCGGCGGACCCAGCGAGCCGCAGTGGCAGTATGGAAGGCTGGCCTGAACAAAAATGCCAACAGAGCTATTGACTACGCACACTTACCTTGTACAGGGCTGTGAAGTGCAAGCAGAACAGATGGTGTGAAACGCAGACCGACCCATCCTCTTTGCTGCACCACACAAAGTGTCAGCTATCTTCTCCGCATGGCGTTGGCATATCGGACCCGAGGTGTGTCGCGCTGAAGCTCGTGGCACACAGCCCGCACGGCAACAGTGCACCTGGGCGTGTTTCGGGTCTTGTGTCAACGACACCAGTCCTGCGAGAATCCCCGTCTCTGACATGAATCCACATATTCTTCGGGGCCTGATGATGAGGCATTCGAGCAGCTCCTGCCGGTGCTTCTCACGGTGTTCCAGGTGAGCGATGATGAAAGGCCATGCTTTGCGTGTGCTATGCAGGTTTAACGTTCCTCAGCGTTGGTGTGAAGGAAGAGCTCCTTTCTAGCGAGACGGAGGCAACAAGGAGGCTCATGGTGGACCGGCCCTGAGACTGTGTGGCCTTTGTTGGCTCTTGAAAGCAATGTTTCAAGCGTGTGTTCTCGGTCTACTCCACTCGAGGTCGCAGGTCCTGCGATGCACAGCAGACAAACCGAGCACCTTGGCAAGCTTCAGAGAGCTGATGGTTACAAAAGGCGATGGTGCAAAGCTACCGGCAGCAGACTTCTTCCGCATTCAGGTTCTGAAGAGCGCGATGCTCTGACAAGATAGCTTGTTTCACTGTTTCACGACGCCAAAAGGAAACAGGAGAGATGTTGTTCGTCGCACTGCGGATTTCTGTGCATCGTGGCGAACGTGTCTACCCTGATGTCGCGACGAATATTCATTGATCGACTGCCTGCCTTATCGGCGCTTCGAAGGCACAATTTTGGATGAAGACCTGGGCATATGGGAGGGTTACCTAGGGGGCGGGTCTTCGTGGCCGTGCAGCACTCTCTTGCAACAGCGACGCGCGAGCCTGAGCAGATCTCACAAGGGATTGTTCTGCTTTCGGTTTCTCCTGGTGCAAGACACTGTCCCAACGAGGGTGCTGGTATGGTGAGAAAGACAAACTATGACTACGACGACAGGACCCTCGGGTTAGGGAAGCCTGTGCAGGCTGCAGATTGCAGATCACTAGCCTTATGTGCCCGCAAGCCCAAACAGGAGTGATGACGAGGATTTTCAGATCGGTGACGAAGTGGAGATCCACGGTTTGCAAGGTGCTAGTTGCGCGTGTCTGCTAAGTTAGCTGGAGTCCCTGTCTCTGCCTCCCAGAAGCTTATGGATTAGTGCGGCTCAGAAACTCCGACCGGCGAAGTGTTTGTCTCGTGATCTCAATATCAGAGCTTTGTAGCAACAGGGCAGGTTTCTGTGTAAATACCTGCGCTTCGATGCAGCCTTCTTGTTCTGCCTAGTTGGCCTCAAAAGCTCGAAGATGACGAGCCGCCGCCCCGCTAGCCAGGTGCCAAAGAATTAAATGGTCGGACAGGGCGAATTGTGGCCTATGTCGAAGAGACCCAACGGTGTGCGTCTTGGAGCACGAGCACGAGGAAACAGTCTCACCAAGGGGGTTTAGGATTTCAGGATCCAGCGCGGCTTCAGGATTCGGTGCCACTGCCAGCGTCCCGCCTGTCAAGTTTCATCTCAAGAGGTTTGGAGTGAAGTTAGACGGCGAGCTGGAGAACAAGGCAGCAGCAGCCCTGGCTTCCTTGCCGAGTGCTGCGCTTCGTGCACAGGCCTTTCATCGCTGCTAGACCGGAGGCAGAGCCATCCCGCACGGATCTAAGTCCGCCAGTGCCGAGGTGCGCCCTGTGAACCTCCGCCGGCTAGACGAGGCCGGGACAAGCCTCTGACTCAGATATGATCGGATTCTGAGATCAATTTCAGTCAACTTTGGCTGCCTCCAGGAGGGCTAATCCCTGATCAAGCTTTAAAGTTCTATAAAGCTTGAAAGCATTCCTGTGTCAGGAGAACGGCGCCTCCGAACGAGCGCTGCTGGAAGCACAGCTGGCGCAGGCGTGCTTTACGCCTCGGTACCCTCGCAAGAACTATCACTATTACGCTGGGTACTATTTTGCTCAGTAGTCGTCGTCGTGGTTGTTGTCGTTGTCGTTGTTGTCGTGGCGCCGTAGTGGTAGCAGCAGAAGCAGCAGCAGCAGAAGCCGCATGAGAAATACCGGCAGGATCTGCAACAGTTGCAGCAACAGTGGCAATGGCAGCAGCTGCAGCGTGGTAGTTGCAGTGGTAGTCATTGTGCTAGTGGTAGTAGTGGTAGTAGTAGTCGTCGTCTGCTGCTGCTGCTGCTCCTACTGCTTCTGCTGCTGCTACTTCCTGCTTTTCCGGCTACGGCGACGTCGACCTTTGTTTGCTATAAACTGTTACCACCACCACCACCAACACCACCA